ATCTGACTTTTAAAGTCAGTGCCTCCCCAATCACAAACCTCACCGCACGTCCCTGCATTGGGGTTGGGGCTGGGGTGTCTGGAGATTGTTTCTTCTGTAACGTTGGCGGGTACATCCCTTTTGGCTAAGAATTTGGCCCTGGCTCTAAACTGTTCTGCTCGGCTCAAATGACGATGCAGAACTGAGGCCCGGGTGCAGAGCTGCTCTGCCACAACCTCTGAGCCCCCATCTGTTCGGTTACTAGCCTCAGAAGCTAGTCAGATTAAAACTGTGTGTGCATGTGTGTGTGTGCCTGTGTGTGCTCAGTTACTAGCCTCAGACCCTAGTCAGATTGAAACTGTGTGTGTTCCCCGCTTGAAGTCTAAAGCACTATATGCGAGGAAATCTGACCTAGGTGTCAGACACAGTAACTTAATAAAAGTTCAGACAGACAGAAATAGTTCTAACAGTAGGGTTGTTAAATGTGGTTTAATGAACGTCAGATCAATCTCGTCTAAATCGCTTCTCATAAACGAACTTATTATAGACAAGGGCTTGGATCTGTTAGCGCTCTCGGAGACTTGGCTCCAACAGGACGAGTACGTTAGATTGAATGAGTGCACTCCTCCGACGCATGTTAACTACCAGAAAGCCAGAGCTACAGGTCGCGGCGGTGGTGTTGCGATTATATCACACACCAACTTGGTTCTTAGTCCCAAAACCAACAACGCTTTTCACTCGTTTGAAAACTTAACACTTTCAATCACCTGTCCTGGGTGGAGAAAACAAAAAGCAGTACTATTTATAGTTTTATACCGACCTCCTGGTCCTTACAGCGAGTTCCTAACAGAATTCTCTGACTTCATTTCAAACCTAGTTTTGGAATGGGAAAACATAGTTATAGCTGGAGACTTCAATATACATGTGGACGACAGCACTGACAGCTTAAACAAAGCTTTCAGCGCCGTACTAGATGGTGTTGGTTTTACTCAGAATGTCGAGGAACCTACTCACATTCATAACCACACCTTGGACCTTGTCCTGACCTACGGCTGTGATGTCTCCAATGTTGACATCCAGCGTCAAAGCTCGTTGCTGTCTGACCATTTCTTGATCACGTTTGATCTCGCTTTGGAGGACTTTCCTGTCCCGCAAGATAAAACCATAATGAAAAGAACCTTAAATGATAAATCTATCACAAGGTTCAAAGAACTAATACAGCCTATGTTGAATACTGCTGCAGGTGAACCTGTTCACAGCAGCTGCAGTCCCTCAGTCATCGACCAAACGGTGGGCAACACTATGGAGTCTTTAAAATCTGCATTAAATGCAGCAGCTCCTTTAAAACAGAAAACCATTAGGATTAGATCATCGTCGCCCTGGTACAGTGTTCAACTCCACACTTTAAAACAGGACGTCAGAAAATTGGAGAGGCTATATCGCCACTCCCACTCGGAGCCTGTCCACAGGGAGTGGAAAGCAGGTCTCCGAAACTACAAGAAGGCCCTTCGCGGGGCTCGAACTCAATACTATTCAACTTTAATAGAAGCGAATAAAAACAACAGTAGATTTTTGTTTGGTACCGTCGCTAAACTCACAAACTGCCATTGCGCAATCGAGCCTAAAATTCCAAGCTCACTGAGCAGTGTCGACTTTCTCCACTTCTTTAATAATAAAATTACATCCATCCGTGACAAGCTGGAGGAGGTTGCTCCTGCTGTTAGTGGTGGACAGGTTGAAGCGGCATACGTGACTTCCCACTTAGACTCTTCAGTGGGCCTTAATAAATTCATGGCTGTGAGCCAAGCAGAGGTGATCTCTGTGGTCACATCCTCAAAAGCCTCAACTTGCATGTTAGACGCAGTCCCGACATGGCTCTTCAAAGACATACTTCCTTTGATAATTGAGCCTATCGTAAATATAATAAACGCATCCATACAATGTGGCTATGTCCCACAAGCTTTTAAAAACGCGGTAATCAAACCCCTTCTGAAGAAAACAAACCTGGACCCAGAAATACTTACAAACTACAGACCGATCTCGAACCTCACTTTTATATCTAAAATCCTGGAAAAACTTATAGCTGAGCAGCTCCGCTGCCACCTGCAGGAAAATGATATGTTTGAAGTCTTTCAATCAGGATTCAGAGCTCATCATAGCACTGAAACGGCACTAGTCAAAGTCACAAATGACTTACTACTAGCTACCGATAATGGACAAGTGTCAGTGCTGGTCCTACTGGACCTTAGTGCTGCATTTGACACAATAGACCACAGCATTCAACTGCAGAGGCTAGAATGTGATATAGGTCTTAGAGGAACAGCCCTTGGCTGGTTTAAATCCTATTTATCAGATCGATATCACTTCGTCAATGTGAATCAGGACTCGTCGCCTTATTCTGGAGTGGAATTCGGTGTGCCGCAGGGTTCGGTACTCGGACCGATTCTTTTTACTCTCTACATGCTGCCACTGGGAAACATTATTAAAAAGCATGGAATTAATTTCCACTGCTATGCAGATGACACACAGCTTTATCTATCGATGAAGCCTAATCAGACAGATCAGCTAGAAAAGCTCAGTGCCTGCATAAAGGACCTTAAAATGTGGATGACTCTTAACTTCCTACTTCTCAACCCGGAGAAGACAGAAGTGATCCTACTCGGTCCGAAGCGCCTGCGTGACTCCCTCACTAACCAGATGGTTACTCTCGATAATGTCAGTATAATACCCAGTAACACTGTGAGGAATCTTGGAGTCATTTTTGACCAAGAACTCTCCTTCAAGGCTTATATAAGCCAAGCAACTAAAACGGCGTACTTCCACTTACGGAACATCGCTAAAATTAGGAATTTCCTTCCTAAAAGTGACGCGGAAAAACTCATTCACGCGTTTGTCACCTCAAGGCTCGACTACTGTAACGCTTTACTGGCAGCGTGCCCTAAAGCCTCTTTGAAGAGCTTCCAGCTCGTTCAGAATACAGCAGCTAGGATCTTAACAGGTACCAAAAGGAGGGAGCACATAACTCCGGTGTTAAAATCACTCCACTGGCTCCCTGTGGAGTACAGAATAAAGTTTAAAATCCTACTCTTAACATATAAAGCCATAAATGGCTTGGCTCCTTCTTATCTCCAAGACACGTTAGTGTCGTATCAACCAAGTCGAGCGTTGCGCTCACAAAACGCCAGACGTCTGGTGGTCCCTAAGGTCTCAAAGGTCACTGTTGGTGGCAGAGCATTTAGCTACCAAGCTCCTTTACTGTGGAATCAGCTTCCCATTTATGTTAAGGAAGCAGATACGGTCTCCACATTCAAGGCCAGGCTTAAAGTGATAGTATGCAGTTTGTCAGAAAAAGAGAGAGAGGAACATGATTTGAAAAAAAAACCGACCCAAGCTCCCTCCCCCTCCTTTCTGATTGGTCTTGAAGCCGCGCCTACTTTCCCGTGCACGCGCCAGGTCAAAGGTGCGGAGGAGAGAGAGAAACCGTTGTCAATAATGGAGTTATCGGAGGTGAGGATGCATTTTTGTTTTGAAATTATTTTTCATGGAGATAACAAGTTTATGTAACTAACTTTGTACTAATACTCTAAACTGGCATGTCCTGTAAATATGTAGTGTTTTCAATCGATTTACATTGTTTATAGCTTGCAATGTTGTTATTACTCATTTGCTATGCTAACAGCTAGCGTAGGATTTACGTATTGTCCGGTCTTTTTAGTGTGTACACCTCTTTAGATGTGGGCCAGATTGTTTTCAATTATTTAAATTTTTGTCATCTTCAGAGCTCTTTTATGAGTGGATCATCTGGTGAGGAATATATTCCCCCTGCAGCATCATCATCAAGGAGAAGCGCTCCAAAACGAAAACGTGCTTCTACCTCTCAAGGTCGAGGAGGGGGTTGGGGGCAAGGCCCGAGTCATGCAGGAGTAGCTGCTGTAAACCTGAGTGACGAGGATTTAGCCCGTGCTCAGGAGCAAAGAACACAGAGGCTAATCGTCGAACATGATGTTGAATATATTCCTCCTGTAGCAACATCTTCACTAAGCAGTAGCGCCCCGAAAAGAAAACGGGCATCTACCTCTCAAGGCCGTGGAAGGGGTCGGGGGCAAGGCCCGAGGCATGCTGGATACGCTGCTGTAAACCTGTATGAGGATGATTTAGCCCGTGTTCAGGAGCTTATAACACAGAGGCGAAACTTTGAACGTGTAAGTCCCTTGAGAAGTCTAACCATATACATAATTTGCATTAAATCATTGCAACATGCTTTCTTTTTATACAGGCACTCATACAGAATCTGTCTCCGGAACAATGTAGGGACGTGCTGACAAAGGCGGTAGATGGAGACCCAGGTGTTCTTTTCGACATAATCACTAACAATGCACCTCCCGAAAGAAACACATCCACTGAAAATCCGCCACCTTGGTGCAGATGTGCACACTGCCGAGAGATGCCAACTGATGTCGAGAAAAAATGCTGCTTGCATCCTCCAGAACTATGCATATCAACTGTAGCACATGTAGAGACATATATAATCCAGAGAGGAGTCTTGCGCTTAGCCCGACGACTCTGGAATGAGTTTCGTGCAATGGTTGATGGATCTGACCCTGGAGAAGACAACCGTCAGTTTCGCCATGCTGCCTACCGGCAGTATGTTGCTTGGCAGCATGGAAGACTAGGTGCTGGACGGCGTGTGGTCATTCCAAGCTGTATGGTGTGGAGAATTAGAGACACATTTCCAGATCCTAACGGGAACTACACTGGGTTCATACCAAGACGATTATAGTTTACATTAGCACTTTTTGTTCACATTGTTGCATTGCTGTTTTCACATGTTCTTTTTGATTTGATAAATAAAAAATATTTCATTACAATACTGTGTAATTACAAAGCTCAACTGCAAATTGCCTGAAAATAACAAATATACAATTGGTTACAGATATAATAAACGGTCAACCACTTTCCATGAAAAACTTTATTTACAAAAACACTATTTACACACAATATAAAAAAAAAAAGTTTAGATTTTATTTCTGAGGCAATCGTTGACCTGTAACAAAACCAGTATATGATATGGATAAAATGATGAATACAAATTCTACATTCAGCATTGTGAGAAGAATAAATTAGTCAATACCATCTCCTCGGGTGCGCTGGTGTTCTAGTAACTCCTGTGTTGTTGGGGCAGGGATAGTTGACAGCAAACCCAATCTCCTTGGGTCCATGGCTCTGTATTTTCTTTGACGTGGGAGTCCTTTTTGGCTGTTCACTCGTGCTGTAACGACCATTGTCTGGAGTTCCGGGATATATGCATAGTCCTTCTCAACTTTGATTGCATAAATCCTCCAGCACCTAGACTTTTTATTGAATACTTTTCTGTATCTAAAATAGAGACATAAAGATGGCACAAAAGTAAAGTCATAGAAAAGCAATAAGCATGCATAGTTTATAAAGTGTGAACATACTGTATGGCTCCATCTGCATTCCTTTTAGCAGGTCTATGTACATGGTGATTGTAATCAAGGGCAGCAAGTTGCATTCTCATGTCCATGATGGGCGGGTCGTAACTAAATCTTTTGCTGGCATACATAAGAAGGTGGCTGTGGAATGCTTCCAGGCGTGCGGTTGATCTACAAATAAATTACAGTTTAATTTGATCTCTTCCGTATTTATATATATTGTAAAAACAATACCTGAACTTCAGATACTTTGGTACTTCTTTTAACCAACGTTCTTTCAGAATGATCTCACTTAGAACGTTGTGCGCCGTTGAACCTTTGACAAGCCACTCTTTCTCACGTTCACTTTCCAGTGGGTCATGTTGGCATGCATCTAGAGGCCACACATGTTCCCCAGTGACATGATGCAGCAAGCCCATCCACATGTTCTAACAAATGTTTGATATGTAATTCATGGTAAGTGCATTTGAATTGAACTTTCAAACATTACAAAATTGAGTTGCCAATCAATGGATGGCATTGTGACTTGGCACCCATTATGCCGCTGTTGTTGTGATGGAATGCAATTTTATGCTATGTTATGTCATCACAAGCTTGATATTATAGTATTTGTATTTTGTAGATACTTACAAAAAACTCCTCATACGTGTTTGCTTTATTGCAGCAGAACCAGAAATGATTGCAAATATCTTTGTTCCACTGTAGTAATATGGAACATCCCTTTTGCTGGCCAGCCTACAAAGAAAAGGGTCACAAATTCAATGCTTGTACAATGTCAATGCACAACAATCTTTCACAAAGCTCACTATTTTACTTACTGAATGTATCTTTTTGCCCAAGTTTTTTGCTCCGTGCCACATATCGTATGTGTGTTCCACACCACTGTCTTTGAATATGCCATTTCCTGTGTGAGTATTACAAATTAAATAAATAATGTAATTGCTTTATATAGGAGTACCATTTCTAATGTCATACCATAAATATGATTTGACTTACGGAAAAGAGCAGAAATCTGTGTATGGGCATCGGTACAGACTTCTGTAAGGTTTACCTCTCCCTTCAGCTGATTGAAGCTCTTGATGAAAGCCTCTCTCTCCATTATAGTAGAAATCCTACCACATAGTCTTTTATCTTCAGTTTTGATGGACATAATTTTCTTCGTCTCATTGTCCATCAGGTGTAAGTACAGTACTGGGCTGAAAATCCTGGGCTGTCCATTCTTCCATCGCCTGTGTCCATAATTAAAAAATAATGTAAATAAAAAGGTTCTCACCCAAGTAAACAAAAAAAAAAAAAACTCAAGAAATTACCTAGAGCAACAACACTTCTGTCATGGACCTCAGCTATAACCGCTGACCGTTTCTCTTCCCAGAAGCTCTCAATGACATCATGACAGTATTCAGCTTGAATACGGTAGAACGTGGACTTTGCAACCATGCCCATATTCATGTACTTGAACAAAAGGGCTATTTTTGAATAGTTGTTGCCAGATAGGAGTATGTTGGTGGCCAGCATGAAGTCCCCACTCTGCATGCCAAATTTAAATTTGGGTTGAGAGTTCCACTCCCAAACAACATGATCATTTGGACAAATCTAAAGAAGGAAAAAGATAGTAATATACACAATTGCAAAAAGACAAAATGCATTACAGCACTGTAAGAAAAAAAAGGCATTCATACCCATTTTACAACCATAGCTGTTCCTCTGGTAGAAATGTCTGTCTGGTATGGTGCTGGGGCTCCACAATCTGACAAATCTTCCATTTTGGCTGTGCATAATGTAATAGGAATGAGCAGGAACTCTGCAAGTTGCTGCACACACTTGTGGTACACTATTGCAGCCTGCTGACCAACAATGTCTCCAGAAACAGCCACTTTACAATTGTCAGGTATGGACACTGGGTCATCGTGGGGTGCTTCAGGAAGGACAATATCATAAAGTGTATCCTCCTCACTTATGTCCTGGAGATTTTGAAGTTCTATTACTTCTCTCATAGTGGCCCCGGTCCTGTGAACAGTGTGACAAGTGTATTATGTACTCTGTTTTACATGTTCAGTTTACATACACATACAATGAAGTCAACCTTATGCGATATGGAGGTATGTATTCTTCATCATTGCTGTCCTCAGACTCTTCCATTTCAATTGTCCAGTCTTCTTCTGAAGACGAAACATCTTCAGTCTCTTGGCTTGGTGACCATGTTTGGTCATCGTCTGATTCAAGGCTGTATCACAAAAGTAACAACGACTTAGTATGTGATATGTGTAAACTTGCTTTTGTAAGCAAAAGCTCAAATCCTCACATGGAATTTTCTATTCTGTTGTACTCCTCCTCGTTGATCTCTACAGGAATACCACTTGATGGCAAACTAAACAAAACAAAGAACAACATTATTCTAATTTATATCCAAATTGACCATAGTGGCAATCATACGGCAACTAAAAAGTTTCACTTACTGTCCAGTTACAGAGATTGAGACTTCACCTTGCCCCAGGACCTCCACCCCCTCTTCAAATGCAAAATCTCTAAAGAAATAAAAAGAAAATGTTAGTTTTAGTTTTTTCTCTTGCCACTCAAACATTTTATTGTGGTTATGTGGTGTTTAGGTATCTATTTTCCCATGGTTAGTGAAAGGGATGCTTTGGTATTACACTGTATTTGCATTTGTAAGGTCAACACTCATGGCCCTTACTGATAGAGCACTCAAGTAGTGTATTGTTAACAGACATCCCCACCCCACCACTGGCTAATCTAATTTAAAAATATTCTCACCTCTCAGACAAGTCTCCGTGGATACTAGACAGTGCTGGAAAAGCAAATAGCTGTTTTTTGAAAGGTGTAGAGGTTGAAACTTGAGATCCGGTTTGGTAACTGGAAACACAAATATTATAATTACACCAATCGTAACTGCATTTAAATTCTCACATAAAAAGATATCATTTGACTCATATGTAAGGATGGCACAGAATCTGAACTAGCTTCCTGACTCATTCTTTGCTTACACCCTACAGAATATGAATGCCATGTCTATGAGATATGTCTATCTGACAAACAATAGTAAGCACCATAACGTGAAATACAGATAATTATAAACACATAGTTATAAACACTCACACAACTGACTCACTGAGCTAAAGTCACCAGCTGGTTATACAACTTTATAACTACTGTCGAGAACGAACCAGACAGGGACGGATCGTGGTGCGCCAAAGCTCTGGAAGTTTATTTAGGTTTCTCTCAATTTCCAGTGGTTTCAGTTGTTTCTTTCTTTCAGATAGAACAAAGCCAGTACACAGTTTATATAGTCATTGTTACGTCACACATCGAAAGTTATACGTGTCAAACCCAGAGACACCAGAGCATAATAGTCATAACATGAACACAGTCAAAGTCCTTGTAGAGTTGTCTTGCACTTGTCCTGCGTAGTCAAAATAGCCATCTAATCCTCACACTACAATAAATAGCAATAAACACGTTAATCTTTGGCTTTCCAAAAATGGAACTCGCGTGATCCAAAATTTGTACAGTTTTATGGCGCAACAAGTACAAGTAAAACTACTTCAACTAATACTACTACTGTGGATAGCCCTATCTGCAGGTTAGGTTGTGAAAAACATCTGCGTTGGCCAGTCACTGTATTGTACTGTTGAACATTGAATACCCACTGTATTCAATGTTTCACTTGTATACTAGCTTTAGGCTACAAGCTAACGCGAGACAAACAGCTCATACCGCTATTTAGACCGCGTAGTAACGCGGAGAATATGTAAAATACATTACAATGAGGCACCCACTAAATAACATATTCATTCGGGATGAACACTTGTGTCATGCATTTACCTGTCCAAGAGAAACTTTGCCAAGTCTTCGTCCGTTTTGAATGCCTTGAACTCACGAAGGTGTCTCCATCTGTTGAAAACGTCTCCGATATTGATTCTACTTCTGTCTCGCATTCGTTTTTCAGCTAATTTAGTAGCAGGACTTTTGAACTTTTTAAATTTCCTTTGAGAAGTAGAAGGGACACGTGAAATGGGTATCTTCTGCTCTTTAGCTAAGTGTTGATCCATGGCTGCGCACGGGACTTGCTTGTTTCAGAAGCTCAGCGAAAACAAACAACTGAGCATGCGCGCAGCTACGAGCACGAGCGCCGATGATTGACAGCCCTTGGCTTCACTTCATTGGTTCACTTCGACGGCATCGTGGATTCTGAGATATAGCTAAGAGAAGGGAAGGCGGGACTTACTTGTAATATTGGAAATTATAAAATGACTTATTTTATATCAACATATAAGGCCAGGAGGTCAATTTAACACAATTCTTAAAAAATGTAACTCATTCAGAGTTGCATACTATCACTTTAAAGCACTTTACTTTAATTTAGCATATAATTAGGTAATATATAATATGTAGTGTATATATTATATATATATGCTGTATTATGTTATATATTATGTTATATATTATTCAATAATGTATTGTGTTATGTTGTATATTATGTTATATATTATGCTGTATGTTATTCTTTATTCAAGGCTAGGTTTAAAACAGTCCTCTTTAGTTTAGCATATGGCTAGGAAGGTAAGACTCGGAGAAGGTTAAACTCCTCAGAGTGTTAGTCAAGCTGCATAGGGAGTCAGTTTGCTGGGAGAAGTATGGTAACTTGAGCACTATCCTCTCCTCCTTCCTACTTTATCTGTTTAGCATTTTTAGGATTCTGACTGTAGTTTGTTCATTGCTATTCACCCGTTGTCCCATTGTCTGTTTCATGGTACGATGACGGGATCTCTGAGCCTGGCCTCTTCCATCTACACCTGCGGACTGCCCCGCCCGACCCGCCTGGGAGTGCTTCGGTCCTGCACCGGACCTGTCCACGTTCAGCGTCCACTGGTCCACGTTCTGTAGCTAGCTTAGGTCCTAGATCATTAGTCTGTCCGTCCGGAGGAGCGGATCCCTTTCTCATATGGGTCTCCCTCCCTGTGGGTTTCCCTAGTTCTCCTCCAAGGTTTCTCACTTTTTCCCACTGGGTTTTTTAAGAGTTTTTCCTTGTCGATGCAGGAGGGTCTTGTTGGACAGTTAGTGTCCAACAGAAAGGATTGGTGATGATCAGGACACTTTAGCATTCTACAACATGTATGGACATTTTCTTCTGTGTGTGCTTTATATTCTTCATGTGTTTTAACTGTTGATTCTCTGACCTGTGTTGGTGATTTCAATGGTTTTGTTAAGTCCTCTGAGATGACTTCTGTTGTGACCTAGGGCTATACAAGAATAAATTGTATTGTAAATTGTATTGTATTGTATTCTTTGATCCTGTCTCAAAGCTTGACTCCGACTTTTTTTTGAGGAGCCTCCAACTTGTTAGAACTCTGGATATTTGCCTCGACCGGCTTAAAAATGTTCTGTGTTCTCACGTAAACGTTGGATATTTTTTGATTCCTCCTCTTTCTAGAGTTTTTGGCCATTTCTTACTATTCTATACGACTCTAAACTAGTGTGTATGAGAATATATAGATGATGTCTGTCTCTGTCTGTCTCTCTCTGTGTCTGTTGGATAAATGGGTTGGTTGTTTAACTGTCATTCTGAGCTCTGCACCCAAGCTTGGAAAGGGGACTTACGGAACATAGTGATGACAATATGACATTCTGACAACATGGCAACAATGTAAATGTGTGGAAAACGTATCTGAAATTAGGTGTTATCTCAAAGGAAATTATATATAAAAAAAAATGCTTTTATTTATTTTCAAATGCACACCAGCCTTCATCCGAGCTAACGGTGCTGGACGCTTCAGAGTTCTCATAGCTTTTGATTTAACTTGAATTCCCCTAAACCACAAATAAATATGTGAAACTACCGTCAATATTTTCCTGCCGTTTTGTCCATTTATGACATTTTCTCCAATATCCAGGCTCTGTTTCAAGGTGCTTTATTAGCATTTTTCAATATTGGGGCAAGTACAGATCTTAGTCATGCAAGGAGGTCCTGGGTTGGAATTCTGGTCTAACAGGGCCTTTATTACAAAGTCGGTTTGCATACATCATACATTTTGAATACGGGACACAGATTTTCACATTTGCCACCTGCATGGGTGACTGCCTGGATCCTGTCAGACCTCTGAAGCTAAGCAGGGCGAGCCTAGGTCAGTGCTATAATGGGAGACCTCTGGGAACAACAAGTGGCACTGTGAGCTTAATGATTGAGGCGGCCCTGACTGCATGGCTCCTTTTCCTTTAAAAAAAAAACAAAAAACATCATGTTCTGTTTTATCCTCATAAATATGTCATCAAATGCACTGCCCAGGGATATCACTGCGCCTGAACCAATACCCCATATAACACTCCAAGATCGGCCCTGATATTCGAGTGCGTTCGTTGTATAAATCACTGCATTCTTGTTTGGAATCTACCGGCCATACCTTCCACTCATGCTCCATGGCTCAAATAATTACTCAATCCATTCACAGCAGTTATTAGAATTACAGTATTTCTGGGTGTGAAACGACCCATGGAACTAAAGAAATAAAAAATGACTATGATTTCGACTTATAGAGTGTAGGCCTCTGTCCTTGGTGCTGATGGTGTGATGCTGATTGTTTGATGCTGATAGTGTGATGCTGATGGTCTGATGCTGATGGTTGATGGTCTGATGCTGATGGTCTGATGTTGATGGTCTGATGCTGATGGTCTGATGTTGATGGTCTGATGCTGATGGTCTGATGCTGATGGTCTGATGTTGATGGTCTGATGCTGATGGTGTGATGCTGATGGTCTGATGTTGATGGTGTGATGCTGATGGTCTGCTGTTGATGGTGTGATGCTGATGGACTGATGTTGATGGTGTGATGCTGATGGTCTGATGCTGATGGTCTAATGTTGATGGTGTGATGCTGATGGTCTGATGTTGATGGTGTGATGCTGATGGTCTGATGTTGATGGTGTGATGTTGATGGTGTGATGCTGATGGTCTGATGTTGATGGTCTGATGTTGATGGTCTGATGTTGATGGTCTGATGTTGATGGTGTGATGCTGATGGTCTGATGCTGATGGTGTGATGCTGATGGTCTGAGGTTGATGGTCTGAGGTTGATGGTCTGATGCTGATGGTCTGATGCTGATGGTCTGATGCTGATGGTGTGATGCTGATGGTCTGATGTTGATGGTGTGATGCTGATGGTCTGATGCTGATGGTGTGATGCTGATGGTCTGAGGTTGATGGTCTGAGGTTGATGGTCTGATGCTGATGGTCTGATGCTGATGGTGTGATGCTGATGGTCTGATGTTGATGGTCTGATGCTGATGGTCTGAGGTTGATGGTCTGATGCTGATGGTCTGAGGTTGATGGTCTGATGCTGATGGTCTGATGCTGATGGTGTGATGCTGATGGTCTGATGCTGATGGTGTGATGCTGATGGTCTGAGGTTGATGGTCTGATGCTGATGGTCTGATGCTGATGGTCTGAGGTTGATGGTCTGATGCTGATGGTCTGAGGTTGATGGTCTGATGCTGATGGTCTGATGCTGATGGTCTGATGCTGATGGTCTGATGCTGATGGTCTGATGTTGATGGTCTGATGCTGATGGTGTGATGCTGATGGTCTGATGCTGATGGTGTGATGCTGATGGTCTGAGGTTGATGGTCTGAGGTTGATGGTCTGATGCTGATGGTCTGATGCTGATGGTCTGATGCTGATGGTCTGAGGTTGATGGTCTGATGCTGATGGTCTGATGTTGATGGTCTGATGCTGATGGTCTGATGCTGATGGTGTGATGCTGATGGTCTGATGCTGATGGTGTGATGCTGATGGTCTGAGGTTGATGGTCTGATGCTGATGGTCTGAGGTTGATGGTCTGATGCTGATGGTCTGATGCTGATGGTCTGATGCTGATGGTCTGATGCTGATGGTCTGATGTTGATGGTCTGATGCTGATGGTGTGATGCTGATGGTCTGATGCTGATGGTGTGATGCTGATGGTCTGAGGTTGATGGTCTGAGGTTGATGGTCTGATGCTGATGGTCTGATGCTGATGGTCTGAGGTTGATGGTCTGATGCTGATGGTCTGATGTTGATGGTCTGATGCTGATGGTGTGATGCTGATGATCTGATGCTGATGGTGTGATGCTGATGGTCTGAGGTTGATGGTCTGAGGTTGATGGTCTGATGCTGATGGTCTGATGCTGATGGTCTGATGCTGATGGTCTGATGCTGATGGTCTGAGGTTGATGGTCTGATGCTGATGGTCTGATGTTGATGGTCTGATGCTGATGGTCTGAGGTTGATGGTCTGATGCTGATGGTCTGATGCTGATGGTGTGATGCTGATGATCTGATGCTGATGGTGTGATGCTGATGGTGTGATGCTGATGGTCTGATGCTGATGGTGTGATGCTGATGGTCTGAGGTTGATGGTCTGAGGTTGATGGTCTGATGCTGATGGTCTGATGCTGATGGTGTGATGCTGATGATCTGATGCTGATGGTGTGATGCTGATGGTCTGAGGTTGATGGTCTGATGTTGATGGTCTGATGCTGATGGTCTGATGCTGATGGTCTGATGCTGATGGTCTGAGGTTGATGGTCTGATGCTGATGGTCTGATGTTGATGGTCTGATGCTGATGGTCTGATGCGGCGGAGTTGACTGGTCACGCCGAGGTTCGGTGGAAGCTGGATGCGCTGAACCTGCTGGGGCCAGTTGGCTACAGTGTTTCATTTTGTCACAAAGAAGGAAACAAATGTGACTACGTATACTTGGTAGTAAATAATAATAATAATATCTTCATGACTTTACAGAACATAAACAGGATGACGGTGAAGAGAATGAGAATAGATATTACTGATATTATGCAATATAAATTATAATTGTTGTTGTTACTAGTTGTGTTACTGACCAGGCAGCAAAAGTGAATGTATGTGTATGTGGATGGGGTGGGAGTTCTTACTTCTTCCTACTGCATTT